GAGAGAGAGAGAGAGAGAGAGAGAGAGAGAGAGAGAGAGAGAGAGAGAGAGAGAGAGAGAGAGAGAGAGAGAGAGTGAGTGAGTGAGTGAGTGAGTGAGTGAGTGAGTGAGTGAGTGAGTGAGTGAGTTCAACCTCAGTAAGGAGCTGACTGAGTCCAAAGGCCGCTATTGCCAGGAGTATGATAAAGACTGCAGCATTGCATGTGTCCACATGGTGTCGGCAGAAAGATCCAGGCAACGTACAGCACAGGTGAATGCTCTAGTCCACTCTGTAACCTATCGTGCAGAGGTGGGGACTTGGCAGCATGACATGTTTGCACTCTGGCCGGAGTCGTGGCCAGTGGAGACGAGGAGAGCTTCATGATGCATGAGCTAGACTGGCGTAAGCCCTGGGTACCGAATCTGCGAACCTTCGATTTCCTGAAGTGAATAATTGGCAATCAGCTGACTCGGCAATGGCTGAGTGACTGACAATGATTTAATTTCTTCTTGCTTTCAAGAGGCGTAACACCTGCTGTTATCGATCAAGATGAACTGAAACCCTTGATTAGCTTAAACATTTTCCCTGAAGTGAATAATTGGCAACTTGTGTTGAATGATAAGAGACCAAGCAATCAGCTGGCACGGCAAGGGCTGAGTGACTGCCAGCGATTTAATTTCTTCTTATTTTCAAGGAGTAACACCTGATGTTATCGATCAGGAAGAGCTGAAACCCTTGATTAGCTTATAAACATTTACAAGGCAGGTATGACTTACAACCGATTGATGTGTCTGATTCCTGGCTATTGCGATGATGCAGCAACAGTTTCTGGAGCTGCAGCACAAGTATGAGACCCTTAAATTTCAGCACGAGGCACTGGTACAGTACATCTTAAACTTCTGTGCTCATCTGATCAAGTCAAACCCTTTTGCTGCGCCCCCTTGCTTTTTTTTTTGTTTTGTTTTTTCAATAATTTGGACCATTGCTTGATTATGCGTTTCACCCTTTCATAGGGGCCGTTCTAATCTTCTCTATACTTTTCCAATTTTAATGGATGTCCGGAAACAAATGTGCGAGTTACCTTCCAGAAATTCCAACTCAAATTGAATTTGCCAATGAAGAGGCATGGAGATTGATGATACACTTTGTCTAACGTTGACCTAATCGGCTGTGGGATAAGTCGGGAGACAACAATGAAGAGTAGAGGAGGAGAGAAAGAAAGAATAGTGGCACTAAAGTGAAGTATTATGAACAACAATGAAGAGTACAGGATGAGAGAAAGAAAGAATAGTAGCAACATTATGAACAACAATGAAGAGTACAGGAGGAGAGAGAATGAATAGTGGCACTAAGGGGAATTTTTGCGGTGCTTAGAAAGCCTGCCAGGTATCCTCCCCCCCTCATCATACACTCGCCCATCCATAATGAGGTGAAGCAGTGGCAGCCAGGAGACTCCTGTTGGTACCCAGTCGCTGCAGCGCATCTTGCCCCATTATGCCCGACCTTGGGTAGATGAGAAGGGGAGGGAGTCCTTCCCTGGTGTCATTTGAATAACATCCTAGTGTGGTTAAGCTTTCATAGGGCGTTCCTTTCAGCCTTTCCTGATCTTTTTTGTATAACTTCAAAGAACCCGAACAATATCACAATAATTGTATCCGTCCGATTTCATCAAAGATTAAAAGTTAAAACTCGTGATCTGTTCTTTAACAGTTATATGTGTGTACCCGTTCAGCCTTTCTTGATTTTGCTGTTTTTGTGCCCCCCCGATGGCAAGGGTTTTGTGAATTTGAAACACAGAACAAAGCATGATGAAGAACCAGGAATTCTCAGGATATGTGGCGAGGACAGTAGAGAAATGATTCTTTCTTCCCGCCAACTCCCACTGTGCACATGGGAGATGAATACGATGATGGACTGGAAATATCCCGATAATGATGGACTGGAAATATCCCGAGGAAGATAAGAATATTGCTAGATATACTGACATACGGTTCCCAACATGGAGCTGCAGTTTGTTGTTGTACTAAATGGACTGATATGGGCCACACTCTGTTGCAGATCATTCAAACTGAAAGGGAAGCGAATTGTGATGACAATGGCCAATCTGAAGGAGGACAGGAGGATATGGATGGTCTGTCCCCTGTTGATGAAGACGACTGTTTGAATGATGATCAAGGCGAGGCGATTGTTAAGGAGGGCTGTCAAAGCGAAGAGTGTGCGACAGTGTTAGCGACCATGAGCGAAGCTATAGACAGTCTTCAGGGGAAGGCAAGTAGCAGTTGTTAGCTTGTTGCTTAGTTGCTTGTTAATGGACGGAATGGGAGCTCTGCTTGGGGCATGAATCTATTCAAGAGAACTGCAAGGAACCATCCAATGAGAACACAATTTTTTTTAGATGGAAAAGCTTACGAGTAAGATGACTTGAAAGCAGAATAACGAAGCTGAGTTTACACCAAATGAAGAGAACACACTGAAACTGAACCCTCTTGACACCGAAAGCCCTCTGTGCGCCTCCAGCAATCAATACAACATTAATGTAGTTGCCTAGCTATGATATGACCACCTATACTACCCTCCTACTCAAGCTAAACATTTTACCTTCTTCCCCTGAATAGAACATACGCTGTCATCCGGTCATTTTCGCTGCATCTGGACTGAAAGGTGAGCCAAATATGGCTATAATGGCCATACGTTCTATTCCGGGAAAGATGATAGCCTACCCTTTTTGACTCTTTCTTGCCACTCTTCTTGCCAGATGTTGCTAGAGAGTCTTATCACATGATTCACTTCTCGTCTAACCCAGTTAAGCATCCGCTTCTCCTTGCCGTGCTCCTCTTTCCTGACCTCCTCCTTCCACCTCACCACCTTCAGCAACTGCCTCCCTTCTGCTATGGCACGCGCAGGCCAGTCAGCTACCGCCCAGCTGCCTTCTCCCTCCCAAGACGCTTGCTGGTTGCACACGCTGCTGCATGCTGCCACTGCCCGAATGTGCTCCACTTAGGACTCCCTGAGGCAGGCCTCACAGAACGATGGCATGCATACCGATATGCAGTCAAGTCGTGAAGAAAAGTGTAAGTAACATGTGCAGTAAACTGCATCCTCTTTTAATGGCAATCACATTGTATGGCACGAAGACTCACTTTTTAAAAGCAGTATCCCTTAACTCCTGATGTGCTTATGAATAGTTACATGCCTGTACCGTTCAGCCACCCGACAGATGCAACATGAGTACTCTTTTAAAATTTTCAAGTTTTTGTAATTGCAGGCATGGTTGCATCCCTGCCGACCGCCGACCCCAACCGCCGACCGTATTGCAGCCGACCAGTAGGGCCGACTGGTCGGCGGTCTACTGACCAGTCAGAAAACAACGATCCACTATTTTTTTTTCAGATCTGAGTTGGAAGCTGTACTGCGCTTGCTGAGTACAGCCCAAATTCGCTGAGAATTTTTTGGGGATGGGGGGGTTGGGGGAGGGGTGTATAGGTTGATATAGGGGGGTATAGAGGTG